TAAATAAAAAATAACATTATAACCAAAATAATTTACAATTCATATATATATATATAACCAATTCCAAATCATTGTTTTATATAAAAATTAACCATATACAAATATAAAAATTAACCATGTACATGATCCACACCTTACATATTTACTTAACCAAAATAAAACAAAAATTCTTCATATCTTCTTGCAACTTCTTCTTCTTCATCAACCATCTAAAAAATATAGCGGCAACAAAAAAGGTAACTGCAACCCGCAATCCTAGCTTTGACCTACAAAGATAGTTAAAGTAAGAGAATTAATGTAAAGCATTATAAAGGTACTTTGAAAGACTCTTCGTCTTAACTCAAGCAAAGCAAGTATTAATATGGTCTTAACTCAAACAAAGCAAGTTCAGTGTATCATGGAAATAATCCCAAAGCAAGTATTAACATGTACAAGTACTTTTGAATCAAGTCCAAATTATGAAAGTTTAGTATGAAATTGGACTCGTACATTATTTGATAAAGCATTCAAAATCACAAGAGAAGATGATAGAATGAATTCCCAAAAGGAAATTGGGAAAACAGTTGATCAAATACAATGAAAATGACACCTCAGGAAGGGAATTGCCGAAAAGCATCTAAAACCCTCTTGGTATAATATAGTAGTCTGAAGTTCAAAAGAAAACACTTCAGTTTACTAAAAGGTGTTAGATGCAAAAAATCCATCCACGTAGTTGATGTAGCAAGGACTGGTAGGCTTATCTCATCAATTTTCTAGTAGTTTCAACCTAGCCTTTAATTAACAATTACAAACTAATTGTAATAATCACTTTGTTTATTTGCTTAAGAGAGACAATATCATGATCATAATGGTGATCATTTACCAGCTTGTTGCAATAAACAAATTGAATCTGTCGCCTATGTATTTATTTTAGGGCATGTAATAATTTTCATGCTCTAATCATGTCACTAGCCCTTCTTTTACAGAAAAAAGTAGGATACTAAATAGTTTCTTGACATGAGAGGAAACACAACAGAGATCAACGAGAAAGCAAAGCCGGTAAGTGCAGTATCAAAGTTGACTACGTTATACATGTAAAAAAAGCATTCAATTTCAAATGAATATCATTTTGGCACTTAATCAATTGACATAAGGTCTCATTTACATGAGAAATATTATAAAATGAGATTAAAAAATAATAATAATATTTATATATATAAACTGTTTTAAGGCATAAATTTGAAAGTGAGGCATGAAGGATATATTTATATATATACACACACACACACACACACTTAGACATTGAGGTGTAGGGTTGAAAAAAACTTTTTGACTCATATGCAATCAACTTTAAATCATGCATTTTGGGACTTAATCAATTGATGGACATAAGGTCTCCTTTAGATGATAAATTAAAAATTAGTTGGAAATTGTGTTGATGTATAAATTTGAAAGTGAGAAAGAATTATGAATAAGTAGGTAAGCTTTATTGTCACTATCAAAATTAAGACATTGAAAAAGTCAATTCGGACAGGCTTTGAAACAACAAAATCTAAATGGTGAGACACAAAATAGTGGGATTCTAGGCTTTATTAAATATTCAAACCCACTAAATATTCAAACCCACTAAACTACTAAAGTGTTGATTTTGATAGACACTAATTAAAAAAAATGGTCACTTAAGGCACGTGACCCCCTATACACCGCAAAATTGGTCACTTAAAGGCACGTGACCCCCTATACACCGCAAAATTGGTCACTTAAAGGTACGTGACCCCCTTGAGCATGAGTATAAAAAGCATTAAAAATGTGTAATCATAAAAGAAATGCATCATTTACAAATTTTGATGTACTTGATAGGCCATGCAATTGTATTTGTGTCTAAAGCTCAACCCCACAATGATTAGGCCCCCAAGCTGGCCAAAAAAGTATATGCAAAACTTGAAGTTGATTTCAGTTCAAAGAAGAGGGAAAGGTAAGCGTACTGCTGCCAATTATATGGCTTCTTTTGTTTTTCTTAATTATAGATTGAGTTTAATTTTTGAATAATCTAGTTCACGTATCATATATCCACTAGATACTCTTCCTTTCAGAACAATTATCTTTTTCTTTTTCCCCTGTGAAATTCAGAATAGCTATCTTCATTAAGATCTGAGTGTCATCATTTAAATTTTGTAAGAGAAAAATAGGAAATTGTAAGTGTCACTAAGTTACGTAAAGGATTATTTTAAAGGTAATCAATTTTCAAAAACTTGATTTTCATCACTTCATGGTTATTGTCCTTTCAATCATCATCATCATCATCATAATCATCTTTATGTTATTCTTCTTTTCCTTTCCGGTGTAATTACCCCTTTCTATTTCATTGCATTTCTGTTAGTTCCCTCGTTCTGCCTAGATTCCTTTCAAATTGAAATGGCTCTTTGGCCTGGATCTGAATCTCAACAGTGTTGTGTTTGAGTCATCTAAAACATTTTGGCCCACGATTGGTACAAAAAGCATCATATTTTGACTAACATGATTTCATAAGGTTAAGGTCAAGGGTGATTTTAAAAGATTTTAATAAACTGAAGGGAAATATAAAAGGAGTACTTACAAAAGCCCCTTGTTCTCCCTGATGGTCTAAATTTTATTTATTTATTTATTTATATATATATATATATATATATTTTTTTCACTCAGGTGTTGCAAATTTGATATACATGGATCCGAAGCAAATTTCTGGGATGACTTGGAATCCAAAATAGTGGAATGCATCATGAACACACTTGACAGGCGTATTCAGTTTTATGAGGATGAGATTCGCAAGCTCAGTGAACAGCGCTTCATGCTCATTTGGAACTTTTGCAACTTTTTCATTCTAAAGGTAGTTGCAGTGGTAAAACTATCTTTATAGTGACTAAGAGATTGTTATGTACGGGCGCTTGGCTGTAAGGAGATATCTTACTTCAGTATTGTGGATTTTTTTTTTTTTTTTTTTTTTTTTTTTTTTTTTTTTTTTTTTCGGAAATTCGTATTGTGGATTTTCATGATCCCTGCTCATGTAAACTTAGTTGAATTATATAGCACATCTGGAGAAGTTTTCAACAGAAAAGAAAGAATATGCCTCCCATTGAACATAGGTGGTGGCCGGCCAACTAACATTAACTCGTGTCCTCTCAGCCATGCGTTCATAATTACATAACATTCTTATTCAGAGTATTTTCTTTCTAGAATATTCCAAGTTATCTAGTGCTTTTTTCTCTATTTATAGTAAAGCTTGGCTTTCATGTTTGAGATGGCTCATCTTCATGAAGATTCATTACGTGAATATTACGAATTGGAACTCTGCTATTTGGAAACAGGTGCTTAATGTTTATGTTTCATCTCTTTCTGCCGTCAATGTTTATTATGGTTATTCTAATTATGTTTCCAATTCCAGTTACTTCTGAAATGTAATAGATATCATTTACCTGTCAACTATTAATGGTGTCTCTAGAAATTTGACTGGTCTTAGCCTGTTTGTCTTTTATGCATATGACTTATGGTAGTTCTCTTAAGGGGAAGAAAATCCTTAATGACTAAATATAAAGATAAGAACATGTTCATTTCTCTGTCATTTGAAAAGAAGGATAGAAGCTTTGGAAAGTAATTATGTGGGAAAAGGTTCATCTCAACAAATTAAGGACAATAACAATGTCGGGATACATTTGCTAAACAAAAAGACAGAGATAGGTGATTGGCCCAGAACTAAGAGATGTATTGTAAACTAGAATGACAAAAACCAAACCCTCTCTTTAGATTTATTGTACAATTGAAGAAAAAACAGAGATTCACTAAACCACCAATAAAAACCTTAAAGATTGGCTAATCAAACCAATAAAACCCCAAATTCCAAACCACATTCCCCAAAATCAGAGTCAAGAACGAGAATAGAGGCGATTGGGGAGGCTGAAATTAATGATTTGCCCTAAAAAAATTTATATTGAATAATTGAAGAATGACTTACCAGGGCCTTCAGCTTGTTTAAGACTCAAATTCAACCCAAATTTACCAATTAGTCTTTCAAATCCTACAAAGGGAGATCCTGTTTCACCAAATAGGATTTAGTTTGCAAAACAAGAATTACAGACCTTATTAATTGATTTAGAAAAAAAATAATAAAACAAAACCCATACATACAAGTTCGTAGCTGCAGAGAGATGGCTTGAGAGTTGAGAGACACCGGGACAGAGCCTGAAGCTTGCGAAAGGCGAACCCAATCGAACTGAAACAGCGGGATTTGGAAACTGAAGGATATGGGTTTTGATTTTGAACAATAATATATGATATGTCGATATGGGTTCTGATTCTTGTAGATTTTGTAGTTTACACTTGTAGAGACAGAGAGAGGGTAACTTCAGAGCAGAGAACGAGAATAGAAATGGAGGCGATTTGGGATGCTGAAGTGATGAGAACGAGAATAGAGATGGAGGCGATTTGGGATGTTGAAGTGAGGAGAACGAGAATAGAGATGAGGCGATTTGGGATGCTGAAGTGAGGAGAACGAGAATAGCGATGGAGGCGATTTGGGATACTGAAGTGAGGAGAACGAGAATAGCGATGGAGGCGATTTGGGAGTGAGGAGAACGAGAATAGAGATGGAGGCGATTTGGGATGCTGATCGAAGTGAGGAGAAGATGAGGCGATTTGGGATGCTGATCGAAGTGAGGAGAAGCTGAAATGATTTGCCTTAAACTATGTGGTCTGTGTACGTGCGAGGCTATATATATTTATGTATATAAAAAAAAAGATTAATTTTTTCTTTAAGAAACTAGTGGGAATAAAACCCGCCTTCTATATTCAATTTCTACCACGGTGCTCCACCGTGGTAGATTGAATTACTACCACGGTTTTCCATTAACTGTGGTAGAAAAAGCGGCACAAAGGGCGTGACCTTATCCCGCTAAAATTTAGTGAAATAACCTCACTTTCTACCACGGTTAATGGAAAACCGTGGTGAAATAAATTAACTTTCTACCACGGTGCTTTTATAACCGTGGTAAAAAATATAATTACTACCACGGTTTTAAAATAACCGTGGTAGAATAAACTTTCTACCACGGTTTTGAAATAACCGTGGTAGAATAAACTTTCTACCACGGTTTTGAAATAACCGTGGTAAAATATAAATTTTCTACCACGGTTATTTTATAACCGTGGTAGAAAGTGTTTTTTACCACGGTTATTTTAAAACCATGGTAGAAAGGGCGTGGTAAAAAACTATTTTTCTTGTAGTGATTGAAAACATGATGGCATGAGAAACTTCAAGTAAATGTTTATTCTTTCTTTCAGCAATTCCATTTTGTTGGGGCGCGTCAACATAAGTGGATTGGTGAAAAATTCTTTTTCTGTTAAAAAACTTCCTAAAACTTCATTAAAGTATTCGGTGCCGTTATCAGTATAAAGAATGCCAATTTTTGTTTGAAATTGATTTTCAATCATCATATAAAAATCCTTGAATAATTTTTCAACCTCAGATTTTTCATTAATTAAATACACCCAACACAAACGTGTATGATTATCAATAAAAGTCACAAACCATTTTTTTCCAGAAAGAGTTGTGATCCTAGAAGGGCCCCAAACATCGCTATGGATTAAATAAAATGGTTTTGATGTTTGGTAAGGTTTGGGAGAATACGTGGTACGATGACTCTTTGATAAAAAACAATTCTCACAATAAAAAGATGAACAATCCAATCCTTTAAACAAAGTAGGAAATAATCTTTTAAGATAAAGGAAACTAGGATGCCCTAGTCTAAAATGCCATAGCATTATTTGTTCTCTAATAGGGATAGAATGAAAACTACTCAGACCTTGAGCCTTTTTATTACTTGAAATATCATCTTCAAAATAGTAGAGACCATCTATCATCTTAGCACTGCCAATCGTCTTCCCCATGCTCTAGTCCTGAAATTCACAATAGGATTCAAAAAAGATAACACAACAATTATAGTCTTTGGACAATTTATTAACTGATAAAAGGTTACAAGCAAGCTTAGGGACATGAAGGATAGACTTAAGATCAATAATTTTTGAAAGTTTTACCAAACCTTTGCCTGCAATAGGAGAATAAGAACCATCGGCTATTCTGATTTTTTCAGAGCCAGAACAAGGTGAATAAGTTTGAAATAAATGAGAAAAACTTGTCATATGATCAGAAGCCCCTGAATCAATGATCCATGGGGTAACACTGGAATTTAAACGGCAAGATAAGGCCTTCGGGCTGTTACTTGTTTGAGCAAGAGAAGCATTAAACAGATGAGGAATTGAATTTTAGCAATTTTAAAAGATAATCCATCTATTCTTTGCTGAAGGGAAGTTCCTCGGCTTCATGAGCTGATGGGGCTCGGTTAAATCTGCTATCCTGGTTGAATCTGCCTTCCTGCTTACTCTTTCAATTCGCTGATTTACCATGAATTTTCCAGCAGGTTTCACGGGTATGGCGAGGCTTGTTGCAGTGGTCACACCAAAGATTGGGCTTTTCATTATGTTTCCTGCCAATATTCGCTTCAGATGCGACCAGGGCAGAGGTCTCAACAACACCATTTGATAACTTTTTTCCAAGCATGACCAGCTTGCTATTTTCCTCTCTTCGAACCACGGAGAAGACTTCACCGATTAGAGGCAGGGGTTGTCGTCCAATTATTCTGCCTCTCACTTCATCAAACTCGACATTGAGTCCAATGAGAAACTTGAAGATGCGGTTGTCTTTCGCCTTCTTTTTGTAATGGTTGTAATCTTCAAGTGATTTCCACTCATAATCGCTGAACAAATCAAGGTCCTGCCACAAACGTTTTAGAGAGTTAAAATATTTTGTAACACTGTTATCTCCTTGACGGATCTCTCCGAGTTTCAGCGTTAGTTTATAGACTTGAGACTGATTTCCTAGGTCTGAATACATCTAGTTGATATTGTCCCAGAGTTCTTTTGCTGTGTGGTAACACATATAATTAGAACTGATGTCCTCCTCCATAGAATTCACCAACCAGGTCATCACCATCGAATTCTGTGCATCCCAGGTCAAGTAGGATGGATCTTCAGGATTTGGTTCCTTCTTTTCTCCTGTCAGGTAGCCGATTTTGCCTCTGCCTCGGATGTACATCCGCATAGACTGGGACCAGCGAAGGAAGTTTTTACCATTTAGCCGAATTGTGGTAATCTGGACTGAGTGTGTTTGAGAGTTTTGGACTTGGGACTCATAGGTCTTGGTCTTGGACTCAGGTATATCATCAGACATGGTGATTAGGGTAGTTTGGAAGAGAGAAAAAAGAAGAAGAGACGGCTATGGGTTTTTTTCCAGAAGAATCAGTAAGATGCTCTGATACCAAATAGGCAATTTCAAGATTGAAAAGAATCTGTATATTGCCGTACATTGAATGGTTTACAATGCTTTAGTTAAATAGGAAATACAAGGGGCTAACAAAAGGAAACTACAAGCTGACTACAAGCTGTAATAGCAAGCTACAGGCAGTAATTACAGGCGGTAAACTAACAGAAGCTACAGACTGTACACTAATAGAAGCTACAGGCTGTACACTAACAAAAATTCCTAATCTTAGTCATTGACTATCTATATTTACACACCTATCATATCCCCTAAAATCTGGTCTTATTAAAACCGACTATCTCTTTTTCAACAATGAAACAAGCAAAAACCTTAACTTATAGAAAATAAATTACTTCAAATATTCCTCAAAATGTTAACGTATACCAATAAACCAGTTTAAAATTAAGTAAACAATAATGAAATGTCAAAATCCAGATCAGAATAAATAAATTAGACATGCAAAACATGAAGGACAAACTCCCCGAACAAATATAGCATGACACTTTCTAAGTTGGGTATGACAAGTTTTGGAAGCACAAGGAAAGGGCTATAACCTAGGAGTGGTCACGGATCGGATCGGATTAGGTCTCAAATGTAATCCAATCTGATCCCAACGGATTGGTGAAATCTGAAACCAAACCGATCCGTGAAATATTGGATTGGATTAGATCGGTTTTACGAATTGGGCATTTTCCAAACAACCCAATATTATTTTTAAACTATGGCCTAATAGATGAATTTTTAAATTATCAACATTAATCCAACAACCTATATCATTAACACAAGTGGACAACACCCTCTTTAGTCTTTAACATAGCAACACAGGCACACAACAGGCTAATAGGCAATAACAGAACAATCTCATAACAATGAACAAATTAGTAGCAATTAACCTAATAGAATGTAGTGAAATAAAAGAGTAAGGAAGGTCTTTACTCTTTACGGTTCAAATTTAAAAAATAAAATAAAGAATAAAAGAAATACGCACTTAAATAGTGTATATACTTATATACTATAATATATATATATATGTGTGTGTGTATACATTTAACCGATCCGGTCACTACAGAGTATTTGTTTATCAAACTGTCACCGGACCGTGAGACTAAAAAACCAATCCAAAATGCACGCATTGGAACGGATTCATAGATCGATGCATTGAATGCCCACCCCTACTATAACCCCCATGCAATTAAGAAAGCTTTTTATATAAAGAAAATCCCTCTTGTAGTTTTCTGTTATTTAATTGCTCTACTTTAAGTTTAATGTTTATTAGGACTTCTAAATATATTATTTATTATATATTATTTGTGGTTCAATATTTTACAACTTTTCACATTCAAGTCGACTCTATGGAAGTATGTGACTCTAGAGGTGGGCTGGTCCAAAGCCCGACTCATTCGCATAATAAATGGGTGCTGATTAGGCAGACCGAACCAAATTTTACAAAATGATAAGTCTAGGCTCTTTACAAGGATGTAGCAAATTTGACCTTCTGCGGCTACAGCAAAGAAGCTTCTCCAGTTTTAGGAAGGCCGGGAAGGGTAACGGGGACAGTGATTGTGGTTCATACATCAGAAAAGACTTCTCCATATCACAGACAAAGATCAGCATGTATCCCATGCACAGAGACAACAGCAGTTGGTAACTCCATTAGTTCAGGGGATGAGTCCAGCTTATTTGAAGCTACACAAGTTGGTACCACTCGGTGGTCGACTTAACTGCCGTCAACTATGCAAGAGGTTGTGAGTGTTGTTTGATGGTACTTTTGTTGCTTTTTGGTGACTAGAGAGGTCTCCCCACATTTTTGGCAAGACTTTTCCCTCAAAAATTCAAAACACGTGGAATGCCCCAATGCGACATGTCAAATTTGAACCAAGAGAAATTCACGTGGGGTTAACCTCAAGGGCGGTGAATCAAAACCAAGACCTCTAACTTATAGATGTGGCTCTTAACCAACTCGAGGGCAGTTAGCTTGTAAATGTTGTTATAATAGATACAGGGTTATTGAGTTATTCATCTTCAATATTAAAAAAAGTCATAGGAAAATAAAAATAAAAACTAGACAGGGACCTAGATTTTATAGGCAAGCATATATTCCCTAAGCATTGGCAATTCGGTATTCACTGATCAAATTCCGGCTTCTTACTTATCAAAAAAATAAAAAAATCATCCGGCTTCTGAGATGTACCATATTGAAAAAAAAAAAAATTTTAAGATCGAAAAATTATTAAAGAATGGTGATTCAAGCTTTGTGGATGGCATTTATTGCACACTTCATACATTGATGAACATACTCCACCTAAAGTAACTTACATATGCACAAATTAGTGTCTTGATCTAATGACCTTACATACATGTAATTCAAATTGCGCTGAGCCCTATGAGACCAAAATTAAATTTCCATGGTAACCATGAAAATAAAATAAAAAATAAAAAACTGTGAAGCCTCTAGATATACTACTAATCGTTGCCCTTCCAAATCATAAGCAAAAGTAGAGAGCTAAATAGAGGAGTAATAGGACAGCCCCTAGCAAGTGGCTAGTTTTGCTCTAAAAGAAAGAGAAAGAAAATCGTTAAATCTTTCCTTGTAAAGAGCATTTGACAAAAAAAATAGAAGAAGGGAGTTCTCGTAGCAGCAATATGTTTGATGACTTGATGTCCTCACTTGTAGTGTATCAGTAGATGATAGAGGGTACTCAGGAACTTGATGTCCTCACTTGTAGTGTATCAGTAGATGATAGAGGGTACTCAGGAACTTGATGTCCTCACTTGTAGTGTATCAGTAGATGATAGAGGGTACTCAGGAGTTCGACGCAAAAATTAGCTTGAATACCCTTTTAAAAAGGGGAAGAGTAGGTTGAGAGTGAATTAATGCCATTCCTAGTTTTATGAAAGTGGAGAACTCAAGAAATGAAAACAAGAGAAAATTACAGATTTTAAGATAAAAATAGAAAGGGAATAGCAATTTGCATATCTATCTTGTAAGCAAAAGAACTGCCTTAACCAACAATGCACCTCCTGATTTCCTTGAGCCAAGGCATGGGAGGGCCTTCCCTGTCACCCGTAGCCTTATCATCTCCATAATAGGTTGGTTCTTTTGCTCTTGGATTTTGGAAGGGAATAATTTTATTTGCCCATCGTTCACCTATATTGATTGCTTAATGTTGGTGTGCTATGTTCTTGTCTTTAACCTTTTTCATCTGAGATTTTTTTTTTTCCCCCTTTTTGGTGTGTGTCTAGGATCTTTTCCTCCATATACTAAAATGTTGTGATTGGTTAGCCAATGGTATCCAAATATAGTGCTTGTTGTAAACCTTAAGAGGAGTATTGAGCTAAACTGGATATCTTCTTTTTGGTACAAAATTTAACATGTTCCATTGAAAATATTGGCCTCCTTGCTATGAGAACCTAGATAGAGATTCAAACATTATGTTCCATTTTCTCAATGCAGCAACATGGATTCCCTACTAATGAAAAACAGTCGAGGATAAATTTACAAGTATACAGAAAGATTTACTCTTCTATGTGAGTTGATCTTTTCACTTCTCACATCTCTTTTCCTCACAATTCATATAGCATTAATAATATGTATTAACCATACATAATTTCAGAATGAATAGTTGATGTAACTATACCAGAAATAGTGGGATCAAGATAGCCTTCCAATCCAACAGTGTAAATATTTGGGATTCTTTGGTTTTTACCGAAAACTCCACCAGTTATAATACCAAAGTCGAATAGTACTGGATTGTAAGCCTGAGTTTCATCATAACATAAAATCATTTTAAACTCTAATAACTTTTTCTCCAGTACACTATGTGGACACCAAATCTAACCTGATCAAGCATTATATGTGGAGGACCAAAATTGCGAACCACGTATGGCAACTCCAGACCATGCAAAAACTTAAGCAGACGAGCAAGATCAATTGCCACCTTAACTCTATGGAGCCAGGAGAAATGATCTAGTAATGCCAAGAAGGAAAAAAAAACCAGTTTAGTATATAACAAAATAATCAAAATTAAAGAACTGTGTATTAATTACTAACTATGTTGCTAAATCTAAAGTACGTCCAAACAAGGAAGAAATTTTATTACTCAACGAAGAATACTTTTTCATACTCAGAGAAAAAAATTATAAAAATAAATATTATTTAGTAAGGGTAAATTCCAAAAACTAATTTTACCAATTCTGGGGGGGAGGGTAAATTCCAAAAACTAATTTTGGTGGGTTGGGTCTTCATAAATTGGTGCCTTTCAATAAAGCTCTCCTTGGGAAATGGTTGTGGGGGTTTGGGGTGGAGAGGCACTGGCTTTGGCAGAGGGTTGTTGTGAGTAGATATGGGGAAGGTAGAGGAGGGTGGTGCTCTCTTGAGGTGCGTGGCCTAAGGGGTGTGGGAGTTTGGAAGTGTATTCGGAAGGGGTGGGCTGTTTTTTCCGCTCATGTCCGTTTCAGACTTATGCTCTATTTGGTTGGAGGGATGGAAAAATGAATGGAAAGGAGAGGGGGAGGGATGGATGAATCATCTCTAAGGAAGGGAAAATTTCTCCTTCATTTTTTGTTTGGTTGAATGGAAGGGACGGCAGAAAAGATTGATGGAGTGCTAGTTTTTTTTTGTTTGGTTGGAAGGAAGAAAATGATAGTTTTTATATATTTTTTTATTAATATACCCTTACTATATAAAGTTATAAAATTAATTAGTATAAAATAATTTAATAATATTGAGCTCTACGAACAAGTTGTCTAAAATGAATATTTTATACTTACATACCAAACAATATATATATATATATATATATATATATATATATATATATATATATATATTTTTACACACCAAACAATTAATTAATTTAAATTTATTTAATAATCACGACCGTTGTTTAACGCAACAGGGTTTTAACAAATTTGTAGGAAGGATAAAAATGAAAATTATAACAATTTTTGATAGTTATCCTTTTTTCCCTCCACTCTTCCCCCAAATTTGGACGGATAGAAAAATGTATAGCAAGGAGGGATGAAGCATCCTTCCTTACTTCCTCCTTCTCTTCCCTTCCCTCCAACCAAATATGAAAACATTCATCCATCCCTTCTCTCATCCTAATCCATCCCTCCAACCAAACATAGCATTAGGGATGGTAGGAGGATCAGTTTTTGGGAGGATGTTTGGTGTGGGGAGGTTTTTCTTACTCTCGCTTTCCCTCGGTTGTTCAGGATGGCTTCGGATAAACAGGCCAAGGTGGTTGACTGTTATTATCTTGATAATGGGAGACTGGTTTGGGATGTTGTCTTTTTCAGGATTGGGAGGTTAAGGATGTCACTCTTTTGTTGGAGGCGTTGTATCGACAGGGAGTTATGGCTGGTGATTCTGATTGTTGGATTTGGAAGCCAAATTTGCAAGGTCGCTTTGATGTTTGTTCCTTCTTCAGGTGTCTTACAGCTGAGCCTGGAGGATCCTCCCCGTGGAAGTCTGTTTGGCGTTCTAAGGCTCTTCTTAAGGTGGTTTTTTTTGCTTGGACCTCTGTTTTGGGTAAGATTTTGACCCAAGACAATTTGAGAAGGAGAAATCAGGTGGTTGTCAATCGGTGCTACATCTTCGGGATGAAGAGATAGTGGATCATCTTCTTTTACATTGCCCCGTGGCTAAGGAATGTTGGGACTTGATGTTTTATTTGTTTGGGTTCCATTGGGTTATGCCTCGCTTCTCTAGACAGATGGTTGAGGCTTGGAGAGGGTGCTCTGTGGTGGCCCATATTCGTGATGCTTGGAGGGTTACGCCTCTTTGTGTGTGGTGGTGCATTTGGCTGGAGAGGAATAAAAGATATTTTGAGGGCAAGGAGAGGCCTTTTTCTTTTCTTAAGTTCTCTATTCTTTCCACTCTTTTTTACTGGGTTTCGGGTAGAGATTTTAGATCTCTTGAGGATATTGTTGTTTTCTTGGCCTCTTTAAAGGCTTAAAGGGCTGTTCTTTTTGGCCTTGTGTTTGTTCTCTTGGGATACGTTCTCCTTTCGAACGCTTTCAAAGCATTTGTTACTTATCAAAAAAAAAGAAAAATTTACCAATTCAATGAGTTAGGACCAGGTTTAAGATTCAACATGTGTTCTGGATACCGGATAGCATACCCGAGTAGAAAATGTAAATGTTGTCACAGATTACTAATAAGACAAACAACATAAGCAGTTGGTGTTGCAATAACAATTGTTACTTTGAATGTGTTTTTTTGCCTCTCTCTATACTGAAAAAACGATGTATGATTAAAAAATTCTAGTTGTAACAGATTTATCAAATGGAGAATTCTGTAATACCTTTAACAATGAGGTTTTCAACTGTATCCAAAGGTTTTAGGTCATAAACAACACCCAATAGACTATCTTCACAGCAATATCCTAACAGTTTGACCAGGTTCGGATGATGGTTGACACGTGGCTCCATTAGAAAGATGCATTCCTTCTGGGAAGATAAGAAACACATTATTGAACAATGACAAGAATAACATCTATAACCTTTAAATTTGAAAATTGAGTTTTGACAAGCATTAAACAAATGAAGTATTGTTACTATCGTCAATTAGGAACGGTGTTCATCCTGGCCAACAGGAAAGTCTCCTACATCTTCCCAAATCTTCACAGTCACATCCTGACGTCGCTGAGTCTTTCCTCGATACACTTTGCCAAATTGGGTTTCTCCAAACAGGTTTGCTTCACTAAAATTATTGGTCAAATCTTCCAACTCCTCAGGGGAGTATCTTCTGAGATTCAACTCTTTGAGCATTTCCATAGTTGGACCTATTTAAGCTAAAGTATGGTGGCATACACGGTTAGGTACAGTTAGAAACAGTTGCTTTTTGATACGAAACTATGAGAATAAACAAATATGTCCTACATTTGTATGTACATTGGTCATCTTTAATTGAAACTACATGAAACAATTTTATAAGCATTAACAAAGTTTTTGACAACGAGACAACGTATTGGTATTGGAATTGGAATTGGAATTGAAATTGAAGACAATGTCGGTCCAAACTATAATTGCTCAAATACACTGCCTATATGGGTCGTGTTACAAATGCCCTAGGAAAACGTATTGATGTCATATATGCCCTGGGGTGGAAGTGAAATTGAAAGTTAAAGGATTGTTTGGTTTATTTTTTCATGTAAGTTTCTAGTTTTCTGATAACTGAAAATAATCCAAAATTTTGTTTGATTGTCAGATTTTGGAATTTATTTTATGAAAAAAAAATTACTTTATTATTATTATTCATTTTTTCCCTCAACACTTGTACCATTGATAATAACTTTGGTAGGTGAGGAAGTACCATTAAGGATTCTCTGATCTATTTTTTTGAGTTATTGATAACTAGCTTGAGAAAACTGAACCAAATAGGCTTAAGCCATCCCTAAAAATGAAAAATTGAAGTTATCAAGTGCCTGTTGATTTGTCACTTGGACAAAAGTTCTCAAATGATTCAAAAAACATAAAACTGTTTTAAGATAACTCTTCCGATAAGTCCTTTAAAGTCTCCTCTAGGAAAATCATTTTTATAACTAAATTTTCATAATAGTAAAAAAAAAAAAAAAAAAGGAACCAATTAGAGTCCCTGTACAAAAATTATTTTTAGAGTTACAAATCAAACCGCCCCCAAATATCTTCTCAAATCTCAATCTCCTATAGTGAGAGTTGAAAGTTCGAAAATCAATATGGACAAAGAATTCGGATCTCCTCCCGTGGAGGAGATTATGTGCCTTGGTCCTTAGTGCAATATATATATGAAAAAATTGTCGTGGTTGCATAAAGAATGTGAAGTTATTTGCATAAGCCAAATACAGATACGGTTTATGACAAATGGTTATGTGCATGTGAGTTTCTTGACAATAAAAAGAAGAACCAACAGCAAATTTTGCTCAAATTGAAATAGAATCACTAAATAACTTGACATTAAATGGATATAAAATGTTTCTCACCTTCCATTAGGATTAGGTTTCTCTCTAGTCTACGTATCAGCTTCTACTAATTTGATGGCGTTCGCAATGTCGACACTTCTTCAATGTATACTTGGTGTAGAGGAATGAAATAAGCTTAGAATGGAATGAATCGAGGAATGGAATGGAAATGGAATGATCATTCCCATTACCTTGTTTGGTTCCCATTACCTTATATGATCGTAAATGAGTTAAAAATGGAAAACTATTCAACCAAAGACAGAATATTTATACATACATACAAATATATTTTTCTCTTCTTCTCTGTTCCCAATCTTCCAAACACATTTTAAAATTTGAAATTCAGAACACCGCCGATACAGTTACCAAGCTCAGACCGTCGCTGCTGTTTCTTTGCTCTCCGGTTAGTTCGTCCTCGCTCGTCGGAGCAGGCCTTGCTTCCTCCGTGTTCGTCGTCGGTGTGTTTACTCCTTGCTCTTGCATTGTTGTGGAAGGCCTCAGAGTTCACGTCATCTAAAAAAAAATTGGAATCGACATACATAAAAATGGTTATTCAAAATTAAATACTTTTATTTGTTTCATAAAATACTCATTTTTCTTATCCTCATCTTTATCTTTTCAATTTCTATAAACCATATCTTTTTTTTTTTTTTTTTTTTTTTAATTTTTTATACTCAAATTTAATAATTTAATTTGTACAAAATTTAAAGAAAAACAACAATGTTTTTAGATTTTTTCATGTTTTTGCAATTTTTTTTTTTTTTTTTTTCAAATTTCTTTTCTTGTCTTTGTTTTTGAGACTTAGATAGATAATTAGTTTTGATTATTATAGTAATTAACAAAATACCTATCAAAGTAATAGATGAATATTAATGATCAAAAACATAATTTGAAGTATTTCAATGGTCCTTACAAAGATGCAATTTGAAATATAAAACAAATATACACGATGGTAGAAACTTTAATAGCCTATAAAGATACTAGATTAAAATAAACTTAGAAAAAAATTAAAACTTTTTAAATAGTCAATTACCTCATATTTTGGGAATTTTTTTTTTACCTTATATTTAACACATGAATAGCCACATTCTCAATTAAGGTAAAATATTTTTCTGGGATTTTTTTTTTCTATTTTAGGTAAAATATTTTATTTTATTTTATTTGTTTATTTATTTATTTTTTGGTGTTTTTGCAAAGAATTAAGTCGAGTCCATCGGGTGGGGTGTATAAAATAGCTTAACAAAAATTGATGAATAAATTATCCAAAATATTTAATATTTTCTCCTACCACACAATTATCCAAAAATACAATCGAGATTTTATGTTTTTTAGTTTTTTTTTTTAAAATGTATTTTGAAAATTGAAGTTGTTGTATAGTTTCAAACCTTTATCTCATGTATCACCCTTTTTGGATATTTTTTTCTCTCTTTTTAAATTAATAGTAAAGGAAAAAATTTAAAGGTAGGATCATCTTCTTCTTCTTCTTCTTTTTATTTTTTATTTTTTTATTTTTATGTTGTTTGTCCCAAGTTGTAGCGTTCACCTTTTGTTTGATGATTATGTTTAAATACCATTAAGATTATTTATTATTATTATTATTTTTATTTTTTCTTATCGCAGTTGTAAGTTATTTTCTTTCACAACAATTAGATTTTCATTAAGGAAGAAAATAAATAAATAAATAAATAAATAAATGAGGAAGGAACATTTTGATAACACGAAAAAATATATAATACGGCACCGAATCATATTATATTATGTGAGAATTATTTAATCAAATTGACCATTACCCATATACAATTTGTTAATTTAATAGCAAGTATAAATCCTCTCCCTAAGAGTAATGAGGCAATGGAAGAGACACGGAAAAAATACGGACTTTAAAAATATCTTACACATTTTATCTCATCTATTTTATTTTCTTGTCTATATAATACAATCAATTAATATTAATTCCTTTTGATTGTTCAAGCTGAATATTGTGTTCCATGTCAATTGAATCTTTGATTTCATATTCATATATTGTTAAAAATATATAAAAATTCCCCAACGCATTGTCTGAGAGGAGCATACTCTGTTGTACAGTATATCCCAGCGGCTAAAAAAAAAAAAAAAAGAAAAAAAAAAAGAGAACACCTTCATTATTCACCTACAGAGCATCATATTAATAACCCGGATGACCATGACGACAAACAGCATGTAACCTCTCCAAGGACGTACGCCCTTGTCTGACACACTGCGCATTGCCAGATCAGTAATTTTATATCCATCGTGTTGACTGAATGCCAAATCTTCTTCAAAGCTTTTGTGCACGAGAGAGAACTTCTTTGAGAGGGCAAAGCAGCCAAATAATGATTTCTTCGGCTCGTTCAAATCGTATTGGACTTGATAACCCAAATTTTATTCAGAAGGGACCGTTCTAGCTCTGTTAGATTTGAAGATACTTTCATCCGTAAGTTACGTAGCATAAGTGGTTCTATGAACTATATGATACCCCATTAGAGGTAAAATAATATTTACATATTTATTGTATATGATCTCCAATATGTGGATTTGCTTTCGATACGTTCATTGGATAGGCTCTTGAAACTTTATGGAAGTATTACATTGAGATGAAAATGACGAGGTCAAAGAATATTCTTGTATGCAATAAGTAAGTTGCACCCAGAATGAAGAAGACCATCTTTTATTAGAGCAAAAATACAACCACCATCTCTCTCTCAACCATGGGGCACTCTATCTTTCTCTTGCTTAACATCATCAATAATTTTTACTTTTTTTCCACCTCTCTTCCACAATCAACAGCAAATGACCTTTCATAGCCAAAATGAATTAAAATTAATTACTTATTTTGGGATTTTACAATTCCTTTGCACCATCAAGTCACTTCGATCTTCACCATTATGATTCATACATGTATGCAACGAGAAATTTTGATACTGTGTCATATTCATAAAGCGAACCACATAACAATAGTATGATATTAGGATTAGAGTTTTTTGCACACAAGTTTCCTCCCCACAATAAGCACCATGGATTCCCAAAAAAAGAGAGGTCAAGGACACTTTTATGAGTAATCAAAATGATTTACTCATTTGTTTGGATTGATATTTTCACTTGACATTCCTGGTTTGCCCACAATTTGTTTAGCATTATATAATAGTTGGAAAAAGAAAAGAAAAAAAAGCACTCGCAATTAAGAAATGCACCGGTGACATAGGCAATGAACTCTAGACTTGGAATAGATTATAAATACAATATTACGTTGACATACCAAAATTCATAATGATCGGATCAGTATAGCCTGGCGCGCTCCAAGTACAAACTTATTTGCGATTGGTTGCTCATCACCAAAAACCCCACCAACTATCATACAAAAGTCGAATAGTACTGGATTGTAATCCTGAGTTTAAGCATAACATAATACCATGTTTAATTCCTATTAAAAAATTCTCCTGAACAAAATTTCTGAAAAGCCAAGTGCACTAAGTAAATGGACACCAGATCTGACCTGATCAACCATTATATGTGCAGAACTAATATTGCGAACTACGTATTGCGGTTTATGATGATAATGCAAAAACTCAAGCAGACGTGCAATATCAATTGCCACCTTGATTCTGTGGACCAGGAAAAGCCATCTACGTTCACCCAAAAAAACAAAACTCTTTTAGTAAATAGCCTACTATTCTATTTTAAAGAAGTCTATCTTAAGTACCAACCATATCCCTGCATGTGATGGCAGCTACACTCTACTAAATGCGGTACATCCAAACAAGACAAAATTTTAATTACTCAAAGAAATATATTTTCTTAGTCAAAGAAGAAAATAAAGTG